TACTGGACCTGATAATGTGATGTAAGATGACGTGATAATACGGGAATAACATGAAGCCTTCATTCAATTAACCTCATTTTACGATAGGAGCATATAACTTCCAAAATTAGGGGATGGGCAGGTCAAATCATAGTCCTAACTTCAGGATATATATAGGCATTCAATAACTATGATATATTGACTTGAAATTGAATATTATCACAGGGACAATATAATGACAATTCTTGTTGACACTGAGCACTAAAGTAAGACAGCTAAGTAAAGATTCAGTTCAAGCCATCTAAAGGGACTCATGAATATGTGCATTAGAACTTATTTTTATGAAGTTTGGGTTTTATGAGAAAGTATTATATGCTACTTATATGACTGCTTTTTTAAGAGATGCGTATTTATCTCTTTTTTGAACAAGACGATATCGGTTAATGTTCTCAATTGCTAAGGAAGCTGATTCCAAACAAAGGGTCCACAGTAACTAAAGCTTCTCTCAGTTTTACTATAATTTGAAACAGTAGGAACATTTAGGAGGAAAATAGTCTTGTTAGTCCGTAGTAGTACACGTACAGGTTGACTCTTAATGTTGATGCATTTGGTGATATAAATTTGGAGTACGTTGTTGACACATTTGAACACGGTTTAGAGCAATCTTATACTCTATTTGTTGTCCTTATTGGAAGAAAATGGGCTTTTTTCAGGAATGGAGTGGACACTGTGAGCACAATGTTATGTTATGATTACCCTTGTCAGTTTTAGTTTACAATGATATTTCAATTCCTTGTTTCTGTTGTAAAAAAAAGCCCAAAAGCCTTTTTGAATATTCCGCGACATGTTTTAACGTTTATAAAAAATCGTTTTTTGTAGGATACAACCAGATTGTTTTCCATTTTAAAAAAATTTAAAGTTAACAAAGAGTTGTGCAAATGTATTGAACTCCCAAAAAAAGTGCAGAGGTTAAGTCGTTGGTTTTGTCATAAATGTTTTTGGCGTAAATTTTTTATTTAATTTTTCTAATTCTCGTTGCAGTGCCCCCAATTTGAAAAAAAGTAAATAATTTAAAAACCAAATTTCTGGTGTTTTTAATCCGCCGAAATTCCCCTTTCCCCGGAAAGAAAATCTATTTAACCATAAATTTGCAAAATTTCCTAAAAATTTTTTGTTTAAAAAAAAATTTTTTTGGGAGGATTATTTTAAAGGGGATAAAATTTCGCGAGCATTCTGGGGTTTGATTAAGAATTTATTTTCGGGAATTTAACAAATCGCTCTGGTTTATAGGTAAAAGTTGTGTGTAGTAATTGATTTGTAAGTTTTCGTCTTTAATAATTTCCCCGATCGAAAAATTTTTAGTCAAAAAAGCTAGCTGAATAAATTTTAAAAAATTAAATGTTTAAAAAAAGGGCTTAAAATACGAATAATTTGTTGTTGGAAAAATTAACAAAAATTTTGACCTTTTTTATGGTAACCCTAATTTTTTATGGGAACCAAAATTATTGTGAACCAAATTTTTTCAGGTTTGGGGGGTGAACATGGGTACCGAAAGTGCGAACTTTTGAAAAAAAAAATCAAAAGCGGGACAGAAGAAACATTGTTTGAGTTAAGTTGTAAAGCTTCTTTTTAAAATTTTTTTCCCCAAAAAAGAATTTGTTTAAATGTGTGGTAAATTTAAAGGGGGTTGGTGACCCAAAACAAACTTTCAATATGTTTTGGGGTGACTTAATATAGAAAAGAACTTAGAAATTTGAGTGATTTAAAGAAATAAGGGAATTGAGCTGTAGGGGAAATGTTGGAAAAGTTGTACTAGGCCAAGATTACGTAGTTAAGATGTTTTCTAATGGAGTTCTATTAACTATGTATGATCCTGTTTTATAATAAGATTATTTGTATAGAGTCGTATATAATGTTTCTTCTTAGACTGCCAGAGAGCACAGAAGATGGCTACTAGACAGCTAAATCGATACTTTACGAGCCACCAGGGGATGCCTTTTTACGATGGATAAAGTAAGTGCACCGACTTTTGACGCTTAAAAAAGTAAAAAGGACTTTTGCACAGAGATATTTGGTACCATCTTATGATGGCCTCTCATATGTATCTTTCGCCTTTCGGATCAATTTATTCGGTCAACAAAGTTTCCTACTCCAGGCCATTAAATTGCTCCGTCAAACGCTATTATACGGAGTTTTAATATAGTCCGGAGTTGGACGTTTTTCTGTACGCTTAGCTTGTCAATCTATGTGTGTAGTTACCGTAATAATATAACTGCTGTGAACACATTTTTCACTTGCTCGTTGACGAGGGTCACGTGATGGTAGGCGAATTTGTAAAGTTTATAGACTATTGTAATTGTACAATAAATATTTATATTTTTGTATCCTTTGTCTTCCGTGACCTCTGACAGGACACCGGTCATCTCGCCCAATTTTCCCGGGAGAATCAGATCTCATGTCAACTAGCGCGTGATATCCCGGCTGGGTGGTCCACTTGTAATGTTGTTCAAACGGAAACCTCGGCCTCGCACATCTGGTAGTGAAGTACTGAATACTGATTACAGCTGCAGGTCTCCAATTCACGACGTCCAACAAGTCCCTTGTATGAGCCATCAGTGTAAATCACGGTACTTTTCTAATCATAATCGCTAGCTTGGCATCATTCAATGGACATTTGTTGTTCAAAAGAAGAAGAGTCAATACATGAGAGTGAACGGTGAACTGCTTATTGCATAAGCTCTTAAATCTGCAAACCGTACATAGCTCCGCAGCTGTCTACTGTTGCTGGGCTCGTTCCGGGTCAGAAATTTACAGTTTACTGCGGCGTGGGGCTACCTCGTCGTTCTGTGTCGTGTACATTAAGAATGTGGTGTGGAAAGAGTTCTGACTTTTCCTGGAGTGAAGATATTATGTCGGCCGTCTTTGTCCGGGAGAACTTTTTAAAACTTTAAAGCTTGGCTTGACTATTAAAAAACAAAGATAATTTGCCGTAGGTATGTGACCCCCAGAAAAAAAAACGGGCATTTGAAAGAATTTTCACAAGCCAAAAAAACCCCCATTGGTGTGTCCTTGACCCGGGAATGGTGTCCTCTCCAAAAAACCCGGATTGTAAAAAACATACACGATTTTCAATTATACGAAAGTTGGCTTTAGGGTCAAAGCGGGGCTTGGGGCGTGTGAATCGGCCCAAAAAAAAAAATTTGGGGTATCTTTATTTTCATTTTGGTCGAGACCGTACCCGCAAAATGTTTCTGTTGCTTATTCAGGCGGGCGAAAAATCAGAAGCGCATATCGGGTTCACGATCGAGATGGTGCTTTTAATACCAGTCCACTGGTTTTTTCTTTTTTCGGTTTTTCGAGGCCTCCCCTGAGGCCCGATGAAAAAAAACAAAAATTATTCTTTATTCTTTATATGTTAAAGGATTCCCCTGCAGTAGTGAAAAGTAAATTGTTTGTTTTATTTCAGTGTCGACAGCTCAAACTATGGTGGTATCTTATCGCTACAATGCTGCTAACTAGGACTCTTGGATGAAGGTTAAGTTGTTTTAGTCCGATGATCTACTTTATGGCGTTTCCCTACTGCCCTAGTTATAGTAGTCAAGGTTTAACAAGTAAATATAGTGTTAAGTAAGTTTCAATATTTCCCTGCCACCTTTTCAGACATAGCAGAGATGTGTGACCGCACAATTCTCAAACCGAAGAATCAAAAGGAGTTATGATTTTCGGTATATAAAGTATGTATGCTTTATCAAACAAAGCACTAGGTAAGCAAATTCAAATATTTTGACAGTTATACTGCGGTTAACATTGCAGCAATGCGCAGCAAACAAGAGCTTGCCACGAGCTTGACCACTGCTATAAAGCATTCGTATTCGTAGTTGTCTTGAATCCTCAAATTTATTCGAATTATCATAAGTAGCCGGAAGCGTCCAGCGGACGGAGTTCTTCAGCACAAAATCGATTATCAAACATTTTAAATCTACCCTTTCTCATTTCTTACTTCTTTTCCTTTCACAATTTTCATGTTTTTTAAAACTTCTTTCCCCCTATCCATGTAACCTATGATTCATGCATTTCTAGCTTCTCGGACAGTGTGTCTTTTCCCCTCGTGGCAATCCTGAAAGTTTTATGAAAAATATAGATCAGAGTTATGTTTGTTCTGCACGTCTGCATTTCAGGTATTCGTGACACAGTTTAGTGAGATGACGTGGGCATCTCTCAACACCACTTTTGCAGCATGAGCGACGGTGCCCTGGCGGGAATCTGGAAATGTAGCTTGAGCTCAGTTAATTTTCTCCGTACCTCACCCGGGGGAGGGGGGGGGGGGGCCCAATGACTTTGGGTACTTTGGGGACAAGTGCAGAATTTCGCCCAGCAATTTAACCTCAAGTCTCAAGATTTTTAGCCCCCCATTGGTACCCAAAAGTCTCCTTTAGATGTCATTTAATAAAGATAATATCCAAAACTACATCAAACTCGCCCAAAACTTTGGGTACTTATGGGGGACAAATGGAAAACTTTCCACCAGCGATTTGACCTTCAGTCCCTATGATTTTCGTCCCCATGGTGACTCAAAGTCTCATCAGTAGTCATTGCCCCCCCCCCCTCATCCTGTGTCGGCTGTATGCAATTTGATTGTACCACGGTTAAAAAATGCCAGTTAAATGTACCAACCTCTCGTTTTATTTATTGTACCGACTCTCGCTCTTCGACCACGCTTATCGTCTACTTGGCGTAGGGCGCGGTAAGATTTCATGTAATCACGCACACCACGTATCGCGCGCGATGTAGAAATAAGTGCACATGGCTTGTGGGTATCAAATGACCCCCGTAATCCATGTGGTGGGGCAGGAGGGTCAAGCACTGTTTTTTCTGAAATGAACCTCCTGATCCATGTGGTGGGGCAGGAGGGTCAAGCACTGTTTTTTCTGAAATGAACCTCCTGATCCATGTGGTGGGGCAGGAGGGTCAAGCACTGTTTCTGAAATGAACCTCCTGATCCATGCGGTGGGGCAGGAGGGTCAAGCAATGTTCTTTTCAGGTTGACCCTCCTGCGCCATTATAGATACAGTTGAAGCACTGTAATCATCTGTAAGAAATTCGTAGACTTGCTTGCCTTTTTCATATTGGATTGTTCTTACGACTTTCTTTCCCAAAAGAATGGCAGCATTATTAATCCTATCAGCACACTCTACTCTATTGTATATCTTTACTGATCTTATTTTGTAAAAATCCTCAAGATCACAATGCCACCAAGCCCACGATTTATCTCTCCCAGGATCAGTATGAGTAACCCCTTTACTGAAAGAACATTGGGTCAACATTTGTACAAAATAGTCACAGTAAGACTACAGAAGAGGATATCTAAGTTTGAGAATGTGAATTACCTAATAATATTGTACTAGATTATAATATAGTACAGAAGTAGTGACTACTTATTAAATACCTTTCATAAACACCATCTGTACTACCATCAACAGCTCTAAGTGGATCACCACCCCATCCAGTTGAAGACTGTGTAACCCGAGTTTTTCTATGAGCCAAGTTTATCAAATCTGAAAGAAAAAAATGTGAAAAGACATATTTTTGAATTTTGAGCTTGTTGCATTTGGACACAAAGGGAAACACAATATGAGGCTTGAATTCATTATGAATTTTTTTATTAAAACGGAGCTTGTTAACGCTCCTGCCTTCAATAATCAGAGAATGAGAAAGAGATCTTGCATTCAAATAACATAAATTATACTTGAATTTGGTATATATTTTCACCTGGTTCAGTGGTACAATCACTCATAACAACCACCTCACTCAGACTAAGTGGTTCTCCAGTATTCAACTTGATTTCTACTTTCTTGCCATACCTAACTCCTTTTACTGGTATGTGATACCACAACAATCCAGGTTTGTATTCGATTGTATGGATAAGATAAGAATCAATGAACACTTCTGCTTTGTTTATCCTCTTAGAACATTCCAGACGGTTCAATAAGTTGATTTCATGTATTCTAAACCGTTTATCCAACACCACATTCCACCATGCTGACTTCTCCTTCTTATTATCATTATGAGTTGTATGCCCAGAGATATACCTTGGATCTTCAATCCCATCAACAGCCCTGTTTGGATCACCACCATGCAAATGTGAAATTGAAGATTGGAAGCAAGGCTGTTTTTTAGCAACATTATACAGTGGATGAATTTGCATGCTGTTGCCCCAAACTTCCACTTGTGCCAATGAAAGAGGCTTTCCTGTCGTCAATATCACTGTTACACAGTTTGCAGGATAGTTGTCAGCAAAAAACTCATAGAGTTGTTGTCCTTGGTTATAACGAATAGTTCCAATTACTTTTTTCCCTAACAGAATTGAAGCACCATCTATTCTTTCAGAACATTCAACTCTATTGTAAATTCTTACGGAGTTGACCTTATACCAACCATCCAAATCACAACTCCACCATGCCCAACCCTCATCAACTTTCGGATCAGTATGTGTGACACCATTCCTGGTGAAATTATGACATCAAGTTTAGAAAACCTACAAACTTCAGAAGTTAAAATCTGTTCGATACCAATACTATTTATTCAGCAGGTTTAAAAGTAAATGTGGTACAATAAAATACTATACAGCGGGATTTGGGAGAAAAGTAAAAGCTGTGTTAAATCTGTGTCGGCAGTAAATCAGGGTTTTGATTGTTAAAATTTATATGTTAATTCCTAATTTGGGGGAAATCAGAGATTGCTGTAAATTGGGATTGCAGTAAATGAGAATTGCGGTAAATAGGTGATTGCGGTAAATCGGGGGCGGTTAATCTGGGTTTGGATGTACTCGATACTGATTTCATCGAATCATAATATCTCAAAAAGGCTTGTAAAAATGTCCAAAGAGCTCAGGAGAACGAAGTAGAAATGCTCTTTGATAAACTAGCAGGTACTAATAGGTTTGCCTTAATAGTACAGTACAAATCAAGAAAGAAAACTACAAATTCAGTGGAATCTGACTGTTCCAGGTTGGTTAAGGTGACGAAGAAGATAAATTTAGCTTACTTTTTATAGGTCCCATCAGTATTACCATCAACTGCTCGCAAGCAGTCACCACCCCACCCTGTTGAAGACTGGGAGACCTTTGTCTTATGAAGTGTTAGATTTATGAATCCTGAAAAAGAAGTTTATTGTATAATCCTTCAAATTTCATGACACAACCATGCCACAAAATATCTGCATGATTTCGATTGTCTGTTTGAAGTACCATGATTTGTTCTTAATTTACCATTATGATTGCTCGTTGAACAGGATGCGGATGTGTCTGGTGAGAACGGGTCTGATATATCTGAAATTAAAGGTTGTTTAGGGCAAAGTACAGCATATTATTGCTTGTTATTATCTTCTAGAAATAAGAGTTCTAGTAATAAACTTAAATGAAGGAATGAATAGCAGCAAGTAAATGATAGTGGCTGTGATTTTAGTAAGACTCACTCATGTCGTTTAATTTGAACTTGAGGAAATTGATTTCTTGGTCCTTTGCCTCTATGTATTGTCTTGCACTTTGCAGTTCTGACCGAAGAAAGAAAATATATCTCGTTACCACATCAGGGGATAGGTGTCCAATTTCATGGCCCAAGACATTATCAGGGCACGAAGTTACTTCTTCCAAGGTAGAAAGGTAAGTTAATGTTGTCATAACAACAACTAACTTTATGTAACTATTCCATGTAATCTTAGAAGAAAAACTTGTGAGCTAAAGTAAACATAGGAACATCAAAGATCCATTCGCAGATTTGAATGCATCACAATGTAAACATTATTGTAGGTGATTTAGGGGTCTGGCAAATAGTATTTCCGACCATAATATTCAAACTAAACAATATACACGGATAATTTTAATAATGGTGATTGTCTAGCTATAAGGTTAGACATCCTTGAAAATGAATAAACCAATACAATTTTTAAAACCAGGGTAGAAAATAAAACCCTTAGTAATATATAAAACGGTAAACTAAAAATTACATTCCACAAATTCACTTAACAACAACAAGCAGTTCAGGCTCTCGCCCATCAAACACTCCCAGACCTTTTGACGGCCCCAACGTTAATGTGGCTCTTGCTATGTGTTCGTTCAGCCGAATTAATTATTATATAATCAAGTTTATTTTTCTCGTTAGTTGTCATCCGGCCAAACATTAAGCAACTTATATTGCAGTACCATTTATCATTTAGTAATCAAAATATGTCATTGTAATTTTGCATGGCTGAAATGTAACGCTTGATTTATATATATAATGATTAATTGAATTTTCAAAAAAAAAATGATCTAGGAGTGTTGATCAAGGTAAGTTCCAAATTACTTATTGAAGTGGGTGGCAAACTTTCGGCGTATCGCAGTATGCTTCTAATAAAGGACATTACATCGCAATGCGTTTGGCCTTTCTTATCAGTTCTCAGCAAGGTACTTCAAAAATTGTGGTTGCGAGAAACATTATTTGGTGCGCGGCGCGGCCTAGTAGTGCATCGCGCCACTTATAATAAGTAGCACAAAAATATTCTTGCAGACCCCAGGCTAAATGTTTATAAACATATTATGAACATTTTGCGGAATGACAGGCTGAGCGCCGCTGGCCCAGAAAAACCCAGCAATCCTTACTGGCTAGCGATATTACTACAGGGTGATCGCCTTTTCACAGCTTGTTGAACTCCGCGCGCGCTCGCTAGTTCATTGCATTTGCACGCTTCAAATATTCCAAGAATGCAATTGTACCGCGTACCACGTGATACGATTCAGCCAATCAGAGAACAACAATCTGCAAAGTTAAAGCTACGCAGTTTTATAAGGCCTAAAATATGACTTTTCGTGATAATTCAAAATCTACGTTGTTTTCAATTTCCCCCCTGGGGGGAAACGTTATTTTTGCGAAACGAACATTTTGCAAAAAACCGGAAGACGCTATCTCTTTTACTTTCAAAGTTAGGCTCCAGCCAGTAAGGTTTCCTGGGCCCAGTTGACGGCGCAGCAGGGTATTTTGGTTCAAGACTTTAAAGAATCGCAAAATTAGCCGTATTATTCCTCCAAACTTACGACTTAGATGGACTGAGATTAGCCCTTAAAATACAGCCTATACTTTTTACCTTATGATTGGGTCGTTATTCTAAACAGAATTTGTCAAGAAGTGTGGCTCAACGGTCACTTAATGTCACTTAGAGCTCAATTATAGCGACCAAGGTCTGCGACCGGCTGCAACAGGTGCATATGATCTGTTCACGAGATATCCTTGTGTTTGGCTTGTACTAACTCTAATTGGGTATTTCGTCACAGGTCATGCGAATCGATACATAAAACCAACACAACGCACAGTTTAAAGACTTTCGGTTTCATTTTAAAAAGCATTCACTTTGACAAAGCATAACTCGCCATCAACCCCCCCCCCCCCCCCCCCCTTTGCAGCTTCTCGGCTATCTCATACCCAGCAATCCTTACTGGCTAGCGATATTACTACAGGGTGATCGCCTTTTCACAGCATGTTGAACTCCGCGCGCGCTCGCTAGTTCATTGCATTTGCACGCTTCAAATATTCCAAGAATGCAATTGTACCGCGTACCACGTGATACGATTCAGCCAATCAGAGAACAACAATCTGCAAAGTTAAAGCTACGCAGTTTTATAAGGCCTAAAATATGACTTTTCGTGATAATTCAAAATCTACGTTGTTTTCAATTTCCCCCCTGGGGGGAAACGTTATTTTTGCGAAACGAACATTTTGCAAAAAACCGGAAGACGCTATCTCTTTTACTTTCAAAGTTAGGCTCCAGCCAGTAAGGTTTCCTGGGAATACCCCGCCGTACAAATCCTTTCAAGTGATCTGCAAACAGTATGAGTACAAATCATCTGACATCAAACTCCATCTGACATCAAACAAGTGTTCAATAAATTTACTAGTAAAATTGCTGAAATTCAAGCTGTCAATAAAAAAACTAATGTTTATATATGTCCGCTGCTGCCAACTAAATGTATTGATTTAAATAGAAGAGTCAATTTCTTTAACTATCTGATTCAAACCCAGCTTCTCCCTTTCAACTTTGGTGTGAGACTGGTAGAAGGGTTTCCAAGCTTTGCTGATGAGAACGGGCTATTAAGCCAACACTTGTCAAAAAGGTTGACGAAGTTCCAGAAACCTGATTACTTACACCTCAATTGGAGGGGGGTTGCAAAATTAGCAGCAATCATTAAAAATACTATTCTTCTTAGAGTTAATGGTGGTCGAGACAGACGCAGAGCTGGACGAGGGGGGAATCAGGTGGACTCCACATCATTTCGTGACATAACTGCACGCTCTCTTCCTGCTGATAAACGAGTATCTGGTGCTCCTGACGGCTACCAACCGTCATGACTACTCTAACTAAAGAGGTATGTAAACACTGCTGCAAGGGTATCTATGTGGGCCAAGCCATAGTCGAGTGTTCCGAATGTAACCATGCAACTCATCATAAATGCTACAATATTGTCAATACCGATTTATGCGGTAACTTTCTCTGCAATACATGTGTAAATCTTGCTGTAAAACGATACAACCCGTTCAAATATGATATTTCCGACGAAGAAATCGATCTAGACGATACGATAACTAAGCTCTCGCAAATTTTAAACAGTTGTTCTCAGCTTAACAGAAGTCAAATTAATCAAACTCTAGAAACTTTAACCGAAGGTCAAATGTCAATGATGTTTCAAAACATAGACGGTAACAAAAGTAACTTTGATACTATGTGTATAGATCTTCGCCGATATAACAAAAAGTTTTCCATAATTGCACTTGCTGAAACAAATGTAGGACCTGAATTAAGTAGTTTGTATCAATTAACCGAATACAATAGTTTTTACCAAGCAACCTTTCGAGAGAAAAAGAAGGGCACCGGAGTTGCAATTTATATCCACCAGTCACTAAATGCAACAATCGATAATACCCTCTCCTATGTGAGTGAAAACCTAGAAATCCTATTTTTAAGATTCAACAGTGGTAACTCAAGCACCTTTGTTGGAGTTTTATACCGCCCTCCGAGTGGCAATTTTGACTTAGCGCTAAGTGAACTAGCCGACACTCTGGACAAAGTCCCCAGACACTCGTATATAGCTGGTGACTTTAACATCAATCTTCACGGCGACAGCAACAAGGTTGCTAAATATGAACACGTTCTTTACAGTCGAGGCTTCTATCCTCTCATATCTGTAATGACCCATGAAAAACCCGGCTGTATTCCTTCATGCATCGATAACATCATTACCAATGATTTAGACAACATTATAACATCTGGCACATTCAAAGACAAAATCACACATCATCACCCCATATTCTTAGCACTCAACACACACCTTGACCAGAACGATTGCAAGATTAAGTATGAACAGTTTTATGACTACTGTAACTCTAACGTAGATAAGTTCACCGACAAACTATCCAATAGTCTTGATAACACTGTAATAAATTGTTTTGATACCTTTGCTGACACATTTAACGTTGCTTTTGACGAATGTTTCAAGTTAGAAACCCCGAAATGTACAAAACGCACTATGCAAAACAATCCATGGATTACACCAGCAATTATAACATCAATAAATCACTGTCACGAACTATACGAAAACTGGGTCAAAGCTCGCAAAGTCAAGTGCAATCTAGGAGATACTGACACAAAAGGTGGCTTCTGTCACTGCGCAGTATGTAACAAAAAGCGCAGTGAGTACTTAACTTATAAATATTATAGAAAAGAACTCAAAGTTATACGTGAAAAGGCTCAAACTTCGTACAATATGGGTAAATTTAATGAAGTTCAAGGTGACAGTAAGAAAACATGGCAACTAATCAATAAGATACGCGGCAAAGGGAAACGAGAAATTAAACCCCCGTTTGTTATTAATAATGAGAAAATAATGAACCGTAGAATTATAGCTAACGAATTTAATAATTACTTTGTATCTCTTGCCCCTAAGTTGAATGAATCATACAGTACAACCGGTCAAATTAGACTAAGTCCAATTCAATGCTTTACGGACTACTTACCAAGACCAAATACCTCAAGTATATTTCTCAGCGATTGTACACCAGAAGAAATAGAGAAAATCATTAGCGAACTCAAGAATGGAAAAGCTAGTGACATCCCTATTCACGTCATCAAACGAACGTCTAAGATTATAAGCCCACTCCTGTCAGTATTATTTAATGAACACATGAGAAATGGAACTTTTCCAGACCGACTGAAAATTGGTAAAATTAGCCCTATATACAAAAAAGACGGTACAGAATATCTCGAAAACTATAGGCCAGTATCTACCCTAGCTGTGTTCGGAAAGTTATTTGAGAAAGTAATCTACTCCCGTTTGTACAGTTTTCTTGTGTCGCAGAACGTTTTGTTTGAGAACCAGTTTGGTTTTAGGAAGAGTCACTCAACTAACCACGCCCTTAATTACTCAGTTGACTATGTAAACTCCCATATAAAGGAAAAGCAACATGTATTAGGTATCTTTATTGACTTATCAAAGGCATTTGACACTATCAGTCACGATAAACTTCTCATAAAACTTGACAAATATGGTATAAGAGGTAACGCAAACGAGCTTATTGGAAGTTACCTATCTAACAGACAGCAGTACGTTTCAGTTTTAGGTGAGGAATCTGATAAACTCCCTGTTATTTGTGGAGTACCACAAGGTAGTGTTTTAGGACCGCTACTGTTTATAATTTACATAAACGATATCTATA